AGTGTTCATACAGAAGCAAGACTTCTTCTGTTGATTTGTTTTGATACTGTTTTCCTTGGAGAATAAGTGGGATACAAATCAGTATTGTCATTCTACATTGAAAACTTCTGTGACATCTTAAAGACTAAAAATTCATGTTGTGGTCCGGTGGAATAGAATCTGCTTCATCAGAGGTATGAAGTGTTATCCTCAAGTAAGGAAAAGATTTGTGAACAGTTGAGACAAAAGGTTATAGTGTGAAGGGGAACAGTCACATTTTTATGCCATGACCAGATGTATGGATGATGTAGAGAGTGACCCATATGCATCAGCTCTCTCATGGATTGCTGTCAGCCAGGCCTCTGTGCTACCCTGGCTGCCATGACCGGTGTGTGTGTGTAACTGTGGAATATTTACTTTTGTTTCTGCTGGGTTTCTCTTGTTTTGGTTATCTCTCCCTGTAAACCGAGCTGTATAACCTTGAGTGCCTGGTGTCTTCTTTCTCTTGGGAACGCTGACCCATTAGCTTGGTGAGCTCTTACCTGTCATCTGATTGGCCCCGAGCCATTGAAGTCCCCCTTGAATTCTGTATATCTATTAGCTTCGCGCACTTTATCCTCTGTTCTAACACGAAACAGTTAAGATACCTGAATTCCATAAAGTTCTCAATAAACCTTAATTCATCTGAATGACTGCTGTTGAGAACTGATTGACTTAGGAGTCTGACAATCGCTGCCTTGATGCGGTGAAGGGGCATGCGTGGTTCGATCACGCCGCAGGCTATGCCGTGGAGGGCCACCCAGGACAGACAGGCCACAGTGGAGAACTCAGACAAAACATGATCCACTGGAGAAGGAAATGGCAACCCATCTTTGCCAAGACAACCCCATGGACAGTAACAAAAGGCTAAAAGATATGATGCCAGAAGATGAGCCCCTCAAGTCAGAAGGTGTCCAATGTACTACTGGGGAAGAGCAGTGGGCAACTACAAGTAACCCCCTTGGGCTCTTTAGCTTGGAGAAACAATGGATGAGGAGTGATATGATCAAAGTTTATAAGATTATGCATGGAATAGAGCAGGTTGAGAAAGAAGTACTTTTCTCCCTTTCTCACAATACAAGAACTCGTGGGCACTCAATGAAATGGCTGAGCAGTTAGGTTAGAACAGATAAAAGGAAGTACTTCTTCACCCAAAGAGTGATTAACACATGGAATTCACTGCCACAGGAGGTGGCAGCGGCTACAAGCATGGACGGCTTCAAGAGGGAATTAGATAAACATATGGAGCAGAGGTCCATCGGTGGCTATTAGCCACAAGGTATAGATAGGAACTCTTGGTCTGGGGCAAGTGATGCACTGCATTCTTGGTGCTTGGGGGGTGCAACAGTGGGAGGGCTTCTAGTGTCCTGGCCCCACTGGTGGACCTCCTGATGGCATCTGGTATTTTTGGCCACTGTGTGACAGAGTGTTGGACTGGATAGGCCATTGACCTGATCCAACATTGGCTTCTCTTATGATCTTATCACAGCTGAGCTATTCAAAGTCCTAAAATATGATGCTGTTAAAGTGCTGCACTCCATATGTCAGCAAATTTGGAAAATGCAACAGTGGCCACAGGATTGGAAAAGGCCAGTTTGCATTCCAATCCCAAAGAAGGGCAATGCCAAGGAATGTTTAAACATGCTTGCACCCATTTCTCACGCTAGCAAGGTCATGCTAAAGATCCTACAAGCTAGGTTTCAGCAGTACATGGGTAGAGAACTACCAGAAGTATAAGCTGGGTTTCGAAGAGATATCGGAACTAGAGATCAAATTGCCAACATTCTTGGGATTAGAGAGAAATCAAGGGAGTACCAGAAAAATGTCTACTTCTGCTTCATTGACTACACTAAAGCCTTTGATTGTGTGGATCACAACAAACTGTGGCAAGTCCTTAAAGGAATCAGAGTACAAGACCACCTTGCATGTCTCCTGAGAAACTTGTATATGGGTCAAGAAGCGACAGTTAGAATCAGACATGGAACAACTGATTGGTTTAGCATCGGAAAAGGAGTACGACTAGGATGTATATTGTCAGCCTGCTTATTTAATTTGTATGCAGAGTATATCATGTGAAATGCCTGGATGAATCACAAAGTGGAATTAAGATTGCTGGGGAAAAGATCAACAACCTCAGATATGCAGATACAACTCTAATGGCAGAAAGTGAAGAGGACCTCTTGCTCAGGATAAAAGAGGAGAGCGCAAAAGTGGGCTTGAAACTCAACATAAAAAAACTAAGATCATGGCATCCAGCCCATCCCTCCTTGGCAAATAGGGGAAGTCATGGAAGCAGTGACAGACTTCACATACCTGGGATCCAAGATCACTGCAGGCGGTGACTGCAGCCATGAAATTAAAAGTTGTCTGCTTCTTGGGAGGAAAGCGATGGCAAACCTAGACAGCATAATAAAAAGTAGAGACATCACCCTGCCAACAAAAGTCCATATAGTCAAAGCAATGGTATTCCCAGTAGTAATGTATGGCTGCGAGAGTTGGACCATAAGGAAGGCTGAGCACCAAAGAATACATGCTTTTGAATTATGGTGCTGGAGAAAGTCCCTTGGGGCTGTTGAGAGTCCCTTGGACTGCAAGGAGATCAAATCAGTCAATCCTAAAGGAAATCAACCCTGACTGTTCCCTGGAAGGCCAGATACTGAAGCTGAAGCTCAAATACTTTTGCCACCAAATGAGAAGGGAGCACTCCCTGGAGAAGACCCTGATGCTGGAGAAGATTGAAGGTAAAAGAAGAAGGATAAGATGGTTAGATAGTGTTATTGATGCAACAAACATGAAGTTGAGCACACACCAGCACTGGACAGGAGGGCCTGGCGTGATGTGGTCCATGGGGTCGCGAAGAGTCGGACTAGACTGTGCGACTGAACAGCAACGAATATGTATCAGCAGTTACTGACATTAATACTGTTTCATTACACTAGTTTAATACCTAAAGAACACCAATTACTGTCTACAGTGGGAAAGATGTCCCCATTTTCAATAGTATTGAATTAGCAAATAAATTCATTTTCAAGCTTGCTCCATCAAGAAATATAGTCTGTGTTGGACTTTAAGGTACCAAAAAGATTTCTAGAAAGGACTAACAAGGTTACACTGCTGTAATTAATTACCATTCTACACTATTGACTATAATTAATGGTAAATGGAAAGGAGGATTGGTTTTTAAGGATTCTTGTAAATGGTTACCAGGCCTGGTCAGGCAACCAGCATGAGATAGCGGATGTAGAGACTTAGAGTTGGGAGGGTGATCAGCATCCCCAGTGCATAGCCTAGAAGTGATGTTACCAAGACAGTGGTGATGCTCTAGTATTCACCCCCAAATGGTATGGTTTAACCATGGAATTTTGGGCAAACACTAGAACATCACTTGATATGATGATGTCAGTTCTGGGTTGTGCTGTAAGCAACAGCATTGCTCTGGCGACACCAATCACACCCTCCCATTTTGTATGGGACTCTCCTCCCACCTCCCAGCTGAGCGACAGCAGGCAGTGAAACCAGGGGGTGGGATGTCTCTTGCTGCCTGTGGGAAGCTGGCGACTGTACTTGATAAGTGACCCTCTTTCACTGCTTATTTGTTGAAAGTGTATGGAAATTTTTGCATGGAGTGGGTATTGGGGGGAAAAGAAAGAACACTTTGTTGCTGAGGAAATTGGGCCTACAATATGTTGCACCAATTAAGTTGCATGTATTTGTTTAATTTGGGTAGAATATAGGACAGGATATAGGACATTCAAATGTATGATCACAGTCATGGGAAAATGGAAAATGCTCTTCTTTTAACAAAACTAAAACAGGGAAATATCCGGGAAGCAAAAAAAGATGAGATGGTTTTTAAAGAAACAAACAAAATGTGGCTGTTAGGGCAAGAAAATTCAGGGCACAGGGATTAACAACATAAACAGAAAAGAAAATTGTTATGTAAAACAGGCTGAATTCAGATGTCACAGACAAATGTACATTAGTTCAAGGTGGGCAGCCATGTTGATCTGAAGCAATAGAAGAAAGTAAGAGTCCAATGGCACTTTTAAGATCAAAAAAGTTTTATTCAAGGTGTGAGCTTTTGTGTGCATGCACATTTCGTCAGATGATGATTCTGTAAAGTTCTCCTCCATGCTAGAAAGGAGATGGATGGGATCTAATGATGGGATTCTCACAGTTTAGGGCACATCAATCTCCAGTTCTGATATATTTATTACCTATGTTGTCCCCCCTCCCCTTGAACCCATACAGATGATAACCAGAAACTGAGCTTGTCATTCTTTTGATCTGTTAAAAAATATCTTCACTATTTTGCATGCTAATTTAACAAGCCACCCCTATATATACAACTATGATATATAATTCCATTTCACAGTCTGATGAAGTGTGCATGCACACGAAAGCTCACATCTTGAATAAAACTTTGTTGGTCTTAAAGGTGCCACTGGACTCTTTCTTTGTTCTAGATGTTCGTATTATGCACAAACCATGCATATCTTTTTGCTGTACTTTTGTGCTCCCACTCTCCTTCCTGCTCCCCCCTGTTCTTGTCCCACAGAGTATAAGTGAGGCCTCCTGGTTTTAGAAGCCTTCAATCAAATACCAGTTTGCTATGATGTCTGAATAGGGTTGCCAAGTAGTATTTACCTTTTAGCGGAGGGAGTCCTGTCCCTCCCTGGAGGTTTTCTGGTGTGCGCGCTTTGTGTGCGCGTTGCGATGATGTCACCCAGAAGTGATATCATCACGTCAGGCACGTTGGGCCACGGCCACAATCATTCGAGGGATAACTATAGAGTTTTCCCTTGAATGATAGAGCATCCCCCCCGCAACGTGGCCGATACAATGATGTCACCTCTGGGTGACATCTTCATGCTGGGCACATCTCACACTTTGGGGGTGGGGTTTCCCCTGCTGGTCCAATGCGGGCCGGCGGGGAACGGGCCTATGGAGCGGGGGTTTCCCCACCCCCCAGGGGGACCTATTTCTGAATGCAGGTGCCTAAACAAATTGGAAAGTCTTTCCCACAAACTGGGATTCTAAACCAGGATTAAGCCATGGTTTAGAACCCTAGTTCAGGAAGAGGAAACAAATTTGTTTGCTCATACACATATATTTTGATACCATGGCATATTAGAGTTTGATTGAAGACTTCTGAAAACAAGAAATGTCAGGAATGCTTTGTGCGTGAAGGAAGGAGGGATGGAAGATAGTTAATTCACAATTTTTGAGTGCAACAGAGATTAAAGAGAATGAAGTTTAATGTTAGATTAAAGACACTAATTAAACAAAGGCCAGAATCTGAAGAGGTTTGAACAAGTACAAAATATTTATTTATTTAAAATATTTTTATGCTGCCTTTCCAGGGTCCCCAAGGTGGCAAACATAAAAACATTTAAAAAATTAAGAACATTTAAAATGGTAAAATAATTAAGTAAAACACATTTAAAAAATTAAATACCAACATTTATAAAACTGGGTGAAATTATGAAGAGGAGAAACACAATCATGCCAATGAGCAACAAAGTCCATATAAACTGTGCAGTTCGGTACAGAAATTAAATATGTAAACTGTGAAGGGAATGTTGGCTGCTGAAATATTTCAGCATTCAAAACAGATGCAATGTAACCCTGAAACAAGGCCCTAGAAATTACACTAGTAGAGTGTCAGTTTTTGTTATGTTAAAATGGGTAAGAAATCTTAGCATTAGGAGAAGGGAGAATGAGAAACTTTTACCTTTACTAAAAACAATTAATAAGATTGAAAGGAATAATGGGATTTGTTTGGAACAAAAGTAGTCCTGATTTTACATATTGGATTTTTTTTAAGTGCTATTGAATTTTAGAAGGCTTTTTTCTTTTGTTTTTACAGATGTGCCATTTACTGCAGTACCTTTGTGATTGCCAGATACGCCACCGAATAGAAGCCATTGTAGCATTTTCAGATGACTTTGTAGCAAAACTTCAAGAGAATCAGCGTTTCCGATACAATGAAGTTATGCAAGCATTGAACATGTCTGCTGCATTGACCGCCAAGAAGACAAAAGAGTTTCGGTCTCCCCCACAGGAACAGGTATAACCCAAAAAAGATAAATATCATATCAATCTTTGGCTATCCTGATATTTAAGAAGTCAAAGCAGCTGCAGCAGGCTCATTTAGGTCAGGGAAGCGGCACTAGGAGAAGAGGAGGTGTGATGCCTTTTCTTTACTCACACAGACTGCCTACCACCCTCAACAACCTCTCTCTCTCAGGTTCAGGGTTATCAGTAGTTCAGGACATCACAAACTACCATTCTTGTCTCTTGTGCATGACCATTTTGCAGCTCAGGTCCTCTCTCCCCCTATAATAATAAGCCCTCACTCAGTTTGGTGTAGTGGTTAGGAGTGCAGACTCTGATTCCGCACACCTCCACATGAAGCCAGCTGGGTAACCTTGGGCAAGCCACAATTCTCTCAGAGTTGTTCTCTCAAGAGCAGTTAAAGAACTCTCTCAGCCCCACCTACCTCACAGGGTGTCTGTTGTGAGGAGATGAAGGGAAGAAGATTGTAAAATGCTCTGAGACTCTGAGTAAAGGGCAGGGTATAAATCCAGTCTCTTCTTCACACAGAGCTATGGGGTTTGCGGCTCAAGCACTGTTCCAGTCATTCACTGCCACCATTTATTTCTATCCTGTAATATATGTTTATAGACTGAGTTATTAAATTGTGTGTCTGTGTGCTTCTTTCCCTTAGACACGCAGCTCACAAAGTTAATCAAAACAAGAAAACTTTTATTTATGATATGAACAAAACAATGAGGAAAGTAAGGTAAAAGTAACGTTTCACTTCAATTGAACTTTTGAACTGAAGTCCTAGTCCTACAGCTGAGGTCCTAGTTACAAATTTACTATTTTCAGCCTGCTCTAAGCAGCTCTTCTGCACAGTTCCATTCAGTCAGAAATCCTCCTTTTTTTCACCTCATTTCCTAAACTGTCAACTCCTCTGTTTCTAACTTCTATTGTTTTTAACTGTTCTTTTTCCAGCCTCCACTCTCAACATTCCAAGTGCTCTCATTGGCTGCTCTTAGGGGGAGGCTGAACCTAGCCTGTCTGTCATAGGTGTTAACCCTTCTCCAGCTTCTCCTGATTCCCCCCGAGCTGCTGTTTGTGCTGCACTATAAAATGCAAAGGGAGTTGGAACCCATCTCGCTTATGTCTCTCTTGCTACACTCAATAAAAAAAAGAAAAGAACTGGGGACTACATTTTACTGACTTCTCTTACAGTACAGTTTTCTAGTAGCTAGTGCTACATTAGGTTGTGAATCATCTGGATACACAGAGGGTGCGTTCAGACAGTGTGCTGAGAGCAGTTTAAACTGGTCTGGTTCTGACGCGATTATTTTTACTCTGGACAATCACGATCATATGGGAGCATGTGTCGGTTTTTTTTCTTCTCAGTTTGCACATGCGCATAACGGTTCATCCGTGGAATTGAAAAACTTTATCCTCACGCATGCGCAGAGCCACTAGGGCAAATCACGGATTTTGCTTGACAGTTCCGCAGAGCACCGTGATTCCACTGCTTTGATAGAAGACTTTCCTTTAAACTTTTCACCGGAAACTGGCCTCTTTGGGATCTCGAACTAAAAACTAGTGACCTTTTAAATGTTGGTTTTAAAAACGCGGGAGCGGAGCTCCGCTTATGCACATACCACCGACGCACAAAAAAAAATGGCAGCCAAAAAGTGGAAGCCTCGGGCTTCCGAGCAGGGAGGGGGTTTAAATCATTGGAAGTGGCTTGACGCTGGAGGAGCGATCACACAGAGGAAACTGTGGCTTTATACGGGAGAGCTGAGAAAACACCATTTTGGGACCTGGTAACAAAATACACCAGGTTAAAATGGTTTTGAGCCGGAAACCAACGGCTGGGGACAGGAGGCAGATGTTGACTGTGTGATCGTGCATATAAAATCCATCGCTGAACTGTCACGACATCAGATCAAATGGTGCGTCTGAACGCAGCCAGACAGTTACTGATGAAATTGCTATAAGTGGTCCTTGACCCTGGTAGAAAGCAAGATAGGAATATAATAAATAAATAGAACACTGATGCTCATCCCCTAAGTGGTGTGAAGGAGGTTAGAGCATATTCAACCATTTTGTGGTAACTGTTAGTTTCTGTGTTCAGTGTAAGATGCTCACATTAACCATTAAAGACTTTACCAACTAAGTATATACCTAGCTTTGAGAATGCCTCACCTTTTATGAATTACCATACATGTTAAGATCCTCTGGGTGGGCCCAGTTAAGAACAGGGATGCATGTAAATTAAATGCATGGGGAATTGTCCCTCGTAAGAATAATTCTCATTTACTGTAAATACTAGAGAACTATTTATTTCCTAATACTTCGGAATTACACATCTAGTTGTTAAATGATATAATCTATGCAACATTCTTTGGACAATTGAAGTAACCTCTATAAATTATTTTCCTCTTTATTCATTATTGATACAATTTGGATTAGGGATAGAGTAGAAATACATGTGATACAATGGCCGGGCCTAATTTTGATACATAGTAAATTTGTAGTAAGCCTTACTCTCCAAGAGATACCAGGCAGGGCAATCCCGTGCCACTGCACCACAATAGTGGCAACCTATAGTTGCCTCCCTAAGGGGGAGGTTACTCAGCAGCAAATGGGGGGGAGTACCCCCATCAATGTTGCTGGGCGCTACTGTAGTTTCCGCTGCAGTGTTCCATCCCGGCGTGATAGACAGGGCAGGCAGGATTAATGGGATCCATGAGTTCAGGGGGCTGAGTCAAGTGTCCATCACTGGTGGGGGTGGAGAGGGATGGGAAACAGGAGCCATGCTCCTCCCCTGCACCCTTCTAAAGAGACCAGCTCCTTTCAGAACCTCCAGCCACTTGTCAGTGGGAAGGGTGGCATCAACTGCACACCCCATGGGGACCCTATAGTGTCGCTCCATGCACAGTGCACATGGCCACTGAGGGCCATGATGGACACAAACGTGGGTGTTCTTGTGCCGTCTGCTCACTGGTGGCCATGCTGTCCAGCAGGGTGCCACGCTGTTGAGAGCATCCCTGTGCCAATCTCAGTGCAACCCCCACTGGAGGATGAGCAGGAGGGATGCTGGGGGGCCTGGAGATCCTCCAGCAGTTCCACCAGCAGCCGCTCAATGCACCCCTGTCCCTCACCCATGTCCCCTTCCCACAACAAACACCCTAAGAGGTAGGTGGGGCTGAGACATCTCTGACAGAAATGGCTTTTTCAAGAACAGCTCTGACAGAACTATGGCTTGCCCAAGGTCATCCAGCAGCTGCATGTGAAGGAGTGGGGAATAATACCCGGTTCTCCCAGATTAGAATCTGCGCACTTAACCACTACACCAAACTGGCTCTTGAAGACATTGAGTCTGCTTCCTGTGTCACCTTCCCTCCAGCTGCTGGGCCTGGGGACTTCGTGATGCCCAGTGACTGCAGGACCACAGAGACTGCCATTGCTGTGCGCCTCCTCGGGGTCAGGCAGCATAGGTGGTCCCCAACATCAGCACCGAATGTCAGAGAATAGTGACCTAGACACAGGGGGAGAAGACAGCAGTCAGTGAACAGTAGCTCCCAGGTGGGTGCTGGTGCCATCACACCTCAGCCCCCGCCCAAAGGCACCTCCCTTGGCCCTGGCTCAGGAGCCTGGCCACCTCCATCTTCCTCCCTGTTGCTCAGCTCTACCTCCTCCTGACTAAACACAGGGGTTATGGTTTTTCAAGAATAGCTCTGACAGAACTATGGCTTGCCCAAGGTCATCCAGCAGCTACAAGTGAAGGAGTGGGGTACCCTGGCATGATGGTTTCGGAGTCCCTGTCCTCCATGGGGATGGGGGTTGGTTTACATGGAGATGGGGGATGGTACTACCAGGAGTACCCTGGTGTGATGGTGTTGGAGTCCCTGTCCTCCATGGGGATGGGGGTTGGTCTACAGCTACATCTTCATTGACCTTCTCGCCAAGTTCCATAATGTCCAGATCTTTGCAGCATCCAGCCTCAACTGCCTGTTGGCCACCTTACTGGAGGATAAAGAATGGCTCCTGGGTTAGTATGGTGAGAAAGACTGGGCATCCTTCAGCTTTTCAGGCAAGCACATGGTTAATGGCCTTCCCCTTCAGACCTCAGTTAAAAGTTATGTCTTCTCTAATGGACCCAACACAAAAGAGGCCTTCCTCCTCACTCTCTTGAGTTTTATCACCTCTCTTTCCCCCACCCACTGACCAGGTCAGGCCAGGTCAGAGAAGTGTTTCTGGGAGCTTCTTCCTGGAGATTATTCTTGAAGCCTTTCCAGTCTAAAGTCCTCCACATCTCTGTTCCCTGCTTGGGGAAGGGGGAGAACTTGACCCACTCATTATATCTCCTGGTAGATGTAGTAGCATTTGTATGAAGGTGGACTGAGGTACATCTGGAAAGAAATTGACCTGTTTTCCTCCTCCTTGCCTGTTCTCTGCCCAGAGAGGAAAAAAAAGTTAAAAACTCAGAGTTAAGATTTTGCCTATTTCAAACCTCCAAAGAAAAATGCATTTCTTCACAGCATATCCTAAAGATGACCCACCAGACCACGCAGCCTACAACCAAGCCTACTACCAAACACTCATGGTTATTGATCAGGCATTCAGCCAACTGAATATGTGCTACTGATGCCTCCACCACACAGGGACTGGAGAGCCATGCAGCCTCTTGCAGTGGCCAAGCTGTTTGCTGTGTGCACCATGTTCCACAACATCACTATGTGGGAATGCCTCCCACCTCCCTTTGGAGGGGGCAGTGTGTAGGGTCCCTGGGCTGGGGTATGGGACCCCAAGCTATCACTGAAGGTTTCTGTGAGGCAGGACCTAAGGAGCCCCCTCAAGTGGGTGTGGGCACACATCTGGCAGCTGAGGCATCCATGTTGGCAGTTGGGGGGGTTCCCCTCCCATCAGCCCCGGTAAGGAGTGACTGAACCACTGGTGGCTCGCCTATGATGCCAGCAGCCCCACTGGTCTGTAGGGTTGCCATGGGCCTCCCATGGCTGTTCTCCTTCCAGAACCAGGGCTGCCCCTCCCCTGCACATGCCTCCATTTGGTTCTTTTTAGGACTGCCAGGGTGGGCTGCTTGCCAGGACGAAGCCAAGACAATGTAGTCCCTGGCTGCAGATGGCCAGGTACAGGACTTGGGCAGGACTGTGGTGGTGTCCCCACAGACTTTGGAGCCTTTGGCCTCCACAAGGAGTGGTGAGGGTGCTTGAACAGGACTACATGGCACTGGGTCCCTTGGTCCCCCATCTCTGCAGCTATCTGGAAAACCCCCCCCCCGCTGGTGTCTCCCATTCTGTTTTCCACATTGCTTTGGTCCCTTGTAAAGGGGAAGGGGCATCAGTGTCTAGAAGTAGGAATATCTTCTATGAGAGATGGTTTGGCCATATACTGGTCACATGAGGATGTAACAATGTCCAAAATACATCCTAGGCATTTAAACCCATGGTGGCTTCCTTAATTTAGAGTGTGTGGGACTCTTATCCAGGTCCGTAGCTACACTGGGCCATCTCAGGGCCTGCCCCCCTGGCTTACCGCCCAGGCCTCATGACTTCCCATCCAACCAGTTTATTTTATTTTTCATGCGAGTTATGGTGGAGCCAAGCTATCTCCCTGCCCTACCTGCTGGCGCCCTCGCTTCTCACCTCTCTTTCTTGTCACATTAAAAAAACCCTTGTACTGTCTTGTCGCTCCTGACACACCCTGGGTGTGTGTGCGGGGGTGCTCCCCATTTATTTAAATGCCCCCCAAAGTAAAAAAAAATCCTGGCCTCGGTCCTGCTCTTAGCCCATGTTGAGTCAGTTATGTTGAAAGCCCGTAATGTGCAGAACTGGGCAGTTTTGCAGAACATCAAAACTGAATTTAGGTCAGCAAGAAAAATACATCTAAAATACATTTTAAATCCCCCCCCACCAAGGAAATTTGGAATATTAATACGAGTCCTGTGGATATATAATGAATTATTTTCTTCTGCTTTTCACCTCACCCCATGAACATTCTTTAAAATATAATTGTCATTATTGTTTTGCTTTTGTTTTTTGAAGATAAATATGCTGCTGAATTTTAAGGATGATAAAAATGACTGCCCTTGTCCTGAAGAAATTAGGGATCAGCTCTTGGATTTTCATGAAGACCTGATGGCTCATTGCGGTAAACCCTCCCTTTCTATATTCTTTTTTCTAATATACTAAAACAAAATAATCCCAACTGTTCTGTTACATATCGTGTACTACACATATGTATGATGGTTATAAAAGGGACTGTTTGTTTGTTCCAGATAATGCTTTACATTTGTATTTAAACCATTTTTAAAGGTGAAGAGCTGTACGTGAATTGGCAGAAAGGCAATAATGTAATAAGGACATAGAAAAAAAAACTAATCCCCCAGTTTTCTCTTATAATAATAATTGTGTTACATTTAAACTTACATCATTCCTTCATTTATAGTAAAGAAATCTGTTCATATTTTTAGAATGGTAAGAATATCTTTTGGCCTCTTTATTCATACTCTGCTATATATTTGGACTTTTGTCTGTAGGAATTCAACTAGATGAAGATGGAACTTTGGATGGAAACAGTGACTTAACTATTAAAGGTCGCCTCCTATACCTTGTTGAAAGGATCATACATCTGAAAAAGAAACAAGCAGAAAAGCCACTTGATGATGATGCTAAGAAACCATGTAAGTGGTAAAAAATGAATTGTCAGGACTAAAAAACATGATATTACTTACTACTTCTGTCTCAATCTAACCACAATTTTGCTAATTTCATTACAGCATCAGTATCTTTCAGAGCTTCCATTTATGTACTCACCATTGTTAAAGATTGTCAAGAATTTTATACAGTTTTTAAAAATAAATTTGCTGTGCACAATTAAAAATGATTTCATGAAAACTGCCATCAACAACAGTTTATAACTAGTTAAAAGAATGACCATCTGGCTAATCTAACTGTGTGGTTTATTAGAGGAAATGTTTCTAAAGATAAAAATCCATAAGGATTTAACAATTCATTTAGGATTGTTTAACAGGCAAATAGGACACTGATATACTGATACAATCAGGCATAGGACCTGTTTCCATGAGTTTTCCAGCTCGACAGTGCCTTATTTAGTGGCATGCTCTAATAATAAAATTCTGTTAATTTTGTTTCTAAATTCTAATTCTGACCAGGATAGCATACTGCACTTAATTAACCGTTGTAAAACATTAAATAGTTTTAATATCTGCCTTGACATTTTCTTCATTTAGCAACTCTCCAGCAACTCATTTCAGAGACAATGGTACGCTGGGCCCAAGAATCAGTAATAGAGGATCCAGAATTGGTGAGGGGCATGTTTGTTCTGCTGCACCGCCAGTATGATGGAGTTGGTGGTCTGGTTCGAGCTTTGCCAAAAACATATACTATAAACGGTGTATCTGTGGAAGATACAATCAGCTTGCTGGCATCTCTTGGCCAAATCCGTTCTCTCCTCAGTGTCAGAATGGGCAAGGAAGAAGAGAAACTTATGATTCGTGGATTGGGGTAATTCATTAGTTCCTTTATCAATTTATTGTTAAATATATGTTGTTTGCTGTGGAAACACAAGTCAGCAGGGTGTGCCTTTTATTTATTTATTCAAGTTGTAACCTGTCCTCACCTGTGCACAAGGCTCAGAGTGGGGAACAATACTTCCAAATAAACAACATTCACAGAGAAGTTAAAACAATTAAAACATCTTAAGCAATTGAATATCAGTTTACAGATGGTGCATAAAATGTACACCGATGTATGTCCTTGCCCCGTGAGGGGGGGATGGTAGGAAGAAGTCAGGCTAGATGGAAACCCTTGCTGTCCTCAACCAGAGGCCTGGCGGAACATCTCTGTCTTGCGGGCCCTGTGGAATTGCATTAGGAGAAGAAGAAGAAGAGATTGGATTTATACCCCGCCCTTCACTTGGAGTCTCAGAGCAGCTTACAAACTCCTTTCCCTTCCCCTCCCCACAACAGACACCCTGTGAGGTGGGTGGGGCTGAGAGAACTCTAACACAAACTGCTCTTTTTCAAGGACAGCTGTGCCAGAGCTTGTGACTGACCCAAGGTCACATCAGCAGGTGCAAGTGGAGGAGTGGGGAATCAAACCTGGTTCTCCCAGATTAGAGTCCGCGCACTTAACCACTACACCAAACTGGCTCTCATTAGGTCCCACAGGGCACAGATGCCGTGCAGCAGAGAGTTCAACCAGGTTGGTGTCAGGGCTGAAAAAACCCTGGCTCTGGTTGAGGACAGCCAGATAACTCTTTGAGTCTGGTGTCACCAGTAAGTTCTTCTCTCCTGAGGATAACGCTCTTTGGGTGTGTGTAGCTAGATTGCCAAAGATGAATGCTGTAGACATGGAAGTTGTGGGAGCTGGGAAGTTTGCTCATTGGCCCATTATGATAGCCAGTCCTAGATGTGGTTTCATTTGAAGCCCTTCACCCTTTATTTAGCTGAGGTGAGAAACTCACATGCCTGTGGAGAATGTGGTAGTGAGGGTACCACAGGGCAGAGATAAACAGCATCTAGATATGGATGGATATGCATATTTGGGTATCTGAAGAATGTTTTGCTCTCTCTCAGCGCAGCTCATTTCTATTGTGAAGGGTTCAGAGATTAGAGGAAGATATTTCTAGGTAGGCATGGTGCCTTCAACTTTCATTTTATAAAGCAGTTTATCTGTATGTCATCTGTACAGCAGCTAGGGTTACCAGATCTCCTGGTCCTGTGGGGGTTTCCTGATTTGTTTTTGGGGGGGCTCCTTCCTGCTGCCAGCCAGCTGGCCAGTGGGGTGGGGAAGCCCCACCCCTGCCCTGCAAGTAGCGATCTGGCAGCTTGCAGGGCAGGCAGGAGCAGTGCCTGCTCTTTTAAAGCAGAGGCTGCCCATGCCTGCCCTACAAGTGGCAAGCTCACAGTTTGCAGGGCAAGTGCAAGCAGCTCCTGCTTCAAAAGAGGAGGCGCCCTGCTTGCCCTACAAGTGTCAATCGTGCAACTTGCAGGGCAAGCATGCGTGGTACCCATCATTTTGAATGGGAGCTGTTCGCACTTGCCCCACAAGCTGCAATCTCGTGGTTTGCAGTGCAGGCAGGAGCAGCAGCGGCTCTTTTTAAGCAGGGGCTGCTGGTGCCTGCCCTACAAGTGGTGAGATTGCAGCTTGCAGGGCAAGTGTGAGCAGCTCCTGTTTCAAAACAGCAGGCACAGAGCTTGCCCTACAAGTGGCGATCTTGCAGTTTGCAGGGCAAGTACTCGTGGCACCCAGCCTTTTGAAGTGGGAGCCACTTGCACTAGGCCTGCAAGCTGCTTTGCTGGGCAGGCTGTGATGATGTCACGATGTGTGATGTCATCATGTTGGGGCAGCCCCTCCTGGCACGCCCCCCCAATTCCCCCCACTGGGGAGGGGAAATAGGACCTGGCAACCCTAACTGCAGCCAGAGCTTCCCCATTATTTTCTTATAACCTGATTGTCAACTGAATCTGTAAAGATTGCATTGGACCTGTGGCCCTATTCCACTGTGCCTGCTAAGGTTTTCTCAACACTTGGAGGGTCTTTTCTTTCTCTCTCTCTTTAACCGCTGCCACCACCTGACCTTTGTAGGAATTGCCCACTGGGAGGGCCAGGACTCCCAGCTTCCCTTCCAAACTCTGAGGCCTTGCCTCTGTCTCTCCCCCTATCCAGTGTCTGGTTATCATGGAGACAGTTTACAGCCTTGTGCACCACTGGGGGAGTAGCCACTTGCCAACTGACTGGCCCTTCCTGTCACTCCTTTTTAAATAGTGTGTCTAAGACAGTGGAGGTCTTTGTGGTACAGAGAATCACTACCAGTATCAAAAATTATAAAGTATTTATTAAAAAGAAAATGTCCACAAACATACAATCAGCAAAGCACCAGGCTGAGCAAGGAATTCAAAAAGAAAGGGCAAAAAGCAATTCTTCTATTCCTCCCTCTATATATGCCCTAGCATGTGTTAAATATAAGGCAGGCTCCTCAAAAAAAACCCCAAACCCAAGTTTCAAAAAGATTGGACAAGGGGGTCCAGTTCTATGGGCCTTAGAAGGAGTGCCCCCATCATTCATTGTTTCCAATGGAGGGGAAAACGCTTGTGAACTGGAAGCTAAAATCTCTAAGCAGCCAGCTAAACTTTTGTGTGCCAGCACCCCCTAGCACAGCTTAGAGGGAACACTGCTTACCATGCACCAGTGGATCCTTGTGGGTGCCATGATTGCAGAACAGGCATGATCAGGTGATACTCATACCCCAACCCCCTATCCCATATGACCACCCAATGCAGGTGAAAAGGTGAATGGCCTATGCTGCAGGCTGCAGACACTGAGGTGACCTAGCCATGGCCAGACTAGGAGGCCTGAGACCTCAGAGCAAAGCCAGGAGTGCCAGAGACTGTTCACAAGCAGCAGCAGCAGCCGAGCAACCAACACAGACAAGGGAGGGGGGAAAGGGTGGGCAGGCAGCTGACAAACTGACTGCATGCTTGGCAGAAGGGCTGGGTGGCCTGATAGCCTCAGACAAGATGAGATCGCCAGCAATCTCCCTCCCCACATGGCCATCAGTGGCCTGCAGCCGATGGGCTGCATGGCAGCCCAAACCCAAGCTGTAAGGGAGCTGGTTACAGACAGTCCCAAATGAGCTGGGAAGACTGCTAGAACCCGTGGCCCACCAGTTGCACTGCAGCTTATGCTGCATGGCCGTGCCTCACCATTCCTGGACACTATAAAATGACCCATCAGTGCTCAGCTCACTGGAGGAGGCTGTTGCTGCTGAGAGGAGCAGTCCCACCAGAAGCCAGCCACCGGCCCAGCACACTGCTGCTGCCTATGCCTTTTGCCTCCCCCCCCCCCAGCAGGCCCACAAAAAAGACTCTGGAAAGTCCAAGTTCTATATTGCTTCTAGTTATTCTTTTGAAATGAATTAATTCCTATGCCATGTAAAACAATTTCCTGATAAATATCTACTGCAATTAAACTAGAATAAACTTATGGAAAACAAGCGTATTGAAATTAATTTGAGATCTGAACCTATGAAACTGTTGTATCCCTAATCAGACCCCTGGTCCCTTAGCTCAGGGCTATCTACTCTGAATGGCAATGGCTGTCTGGTGCCTGAGAGTATTTAACTGGAGATGGTTTAAATTTAAAATCGTCTGCCTGCAAAATATATGCTTTAATCCTGAGCCATGGTACCTCCCTTTTGATTTCATAACTTGATATACTTTTGTTATGGAGGTAGGGCTGCCAAGTGGGGGCGGGTAAACCCCCACTGTGGAGGCCCGATTTCCGCCGCCGCAAAATCGGGCCCCGGGGGGAGCTCCGCCACCCGAAGCGCAGCGTAGCTGTGTCACCAGAGGTGATGCGACCACATTAATCACGTTGGGGGCGATCGCCCTCAACGTGATCGACGTCGCACGTCACTTCCGGTGACATTCTGCCGGCATCCACGGACGGCTCCCGGAGCCCAGCAAGGCTCCCCCCACCAGTAAGTACTTTGCATGGCAATCCTCTTAATGAAATTTCATCTCCCCACAATATGGAATTGTGGCCTATGCCATTTTTGTACTGCTTGACTTCCTAAAATTTTCAGTTTTGTAAAAAAATACTATGCAAATTGTCATGAAACTAAAGGCAAGTACCTTAGTAACTGCCAGTTGTAAAGTTACTGAAATGTTGTCACTGTTTTCCTTTTGCTACACAGGGACATCATGAACAATAAAGTTTTTTACCAACATCCTAACCTTATGAGGGCATTGGGGATGCATGAGACTGTTATGGAAGTTATGGTGAATGTACTTGGAGGGGGCGAGTCAAAGGTAACGTACTAGAAAAGGAAAGTTTATTGCCTGCACATCATTAGGCTGCTTAACACCCACTGAGGTCCAAAGACGGGATGATCCTGAAATGCAGCATGATGATCAGACTGAGTTCCGATGCACGGGGCTTTCGATAAACTTTGTATTATAATGTTCCAACCAATATGTTGGATCTGAACCACTTCCTCTGCAAAAAACAAACAAACAAAAATTATGAAGGGTGGTTCTTACAGGGCTCTTTTTGTAGAAAAAGCCCAGCAGGAACTCATTAGCATAATAGGCCACACCCAACAGCAAAACCAATTAGCATATTAGGCCACACCCTGACAGCACCACTCATTAGCACATTAGGCCACACCCCACATTACCAGAACTGTGGTCATCCAGCCACACCCACCTTTTGCTTCTTATTCTGTTTACCTTGTTTGTTGTCAAAACCCAGGGCTTTTTTTGTAGCAGGAACTCCTTTGCATGTTAGGCCACACACCCCTAATGTAGCCAGTCCTAATGAGTTTCTGCTGTTGGGTGTGGCCTATTATGCTAATGAGTTCCTGCTGGGCGTGGCCAACTTGGGAGCCAGCCGGAACTCCGTTCCTGTGCGTTCCTGCCCAAAAATAGCCCTGCACAGCTCAAAAGCTTCAATGGAATCCTCGCTTTTATGTTCATAACAGAGGTCAGGGGGCCCCCTTCCTGGGACTGTACCGTTCCACACCGCAGAGGGAGGCATACACAAGTAAATGCTCCATGACATTTTTTTTAAAATCTCACCCCTAAAGTTCAAAAAGGTGTCCAAGGCCTATCCCCACCCCAACCTGCCCATTTTTTTTCACTGTAAGGGTTCAGCTTGAAGTCTCAGAGTTTCAAAAGAGAATCTTGAAAACAAATCCTGTGGTGAAGAGAGGGAACAAATTATTAAAGAGGATAGAACACTGAAGAATTTGATCATCTCTAATTCAGCACCAGTTTGGTCATAAGAACATAAGAAGCGCCCAGCTGAATCATACCAGTGGTCCATACCAGGTCTCATACAGTGGCCAACCAGTTCCTCTGGAGGGCCAACAACAGGACATTGAGTCTGAGGCCTTCCTAAAAAGCAGAGGGTGAAATGGCTCGGAGCCATTTAAACCCTTGTGGAGGGAAGCAGAAAGCAGGGGTCACTAACCAATACGAATTGGATTGGTTCACAAACTAATGTATCTGTCCATGGATCGGTTTGTGGTTCAGCCACGAACCAAACTGCAAAAATGTGTTTCATGCCCATCCCCAGCTGCAATGCTCCCTCTAAGCTGTGGAGTCTTGTGAGCAAAAATTCTACTTTGTGAGCTACTGGCATTAAAGTTCTGAGTGAGCGATTTGGATACTGCCTGAATTAGTTTGCTCTGGAGCCATCCTTCCTGAGCTAAGACAAGAATGCATGAGCCAGAGGCTAAAAAACTGTGAGCTAGCTCACACTAACTCAGCTTAGAGGGAACACTGGCTGCGAGACCCCCCAATATCTCTGAAGGGCAACTGGATCAAGGTACAAGGGAAGGTTGCCTGGCTGCTGTTCTTCATCTTTTTAAAATGTTCATTGGACTACAATGATTCTGTGGTCCTTTAATGGACTGGCAGGGAGGATTTAGTCCTGGGTCTTGTGCAGCAAAAGGTATGCATCCTGTGAAGCCAATTTCCTCTGCACCCGAATAGACCTGGTGGTGTATCTTTGCGAGATCCAGGTGCTTCCAAGGTATGCATCCTGTGAAGCCAATTTCCCCTGCACCCGAATAGACCTGCTGGTGTATCTTTGCGAGATCCACTTTGAGTACAGGAGCACCATTGGTGGATGTTCGTATAGCCAATTCTATGGAACTTTTAGAGGCTCTCTGCTGATTCTGGCATATGTTAAGTCACTTTTCACCCTGACTACTCCTTGTCCTGTGCTGTGGTCCTAGTATGAATTGGTTTTAGTGTGTGGGTGCAAATTATCTTTAGAAATGCTGAGCAAACAATTTTGTGGCTCTCCCAGAATCTTGTTCTGTTTGGCCATTAGGAATATGTACAGGATGATCTGTCAGAAGGACCACAGCTTCTCTAAAAACAGATAAATCACTAACATTCATAGTTTTTGCACACTAACATAATGTTGTTTGTCTAGGAAATCACCTTTCCTAAGATGGTGGCAAATTGCTGCCGTTTCCTATGTTATTTTTGCCGCATCAGCAGACAGAACCAAAAGGCTATGTTTGATCATCTTAGCTACCTTTTGGAAAACAGCAGTGTTGGGCTTGGTAAGTATTTATATAAAGAGTCCTGAAATTAGAATACATAGCTATCTATTTTTTGAAAAGGTCAGTGGATCTGTTTTACAGTCAATAGATTGCAGATATCATACTATTTTGTTGGAATTCTTGGTTCAAAGACAGCATATTTGTTAATGATATCTCTTGAAAGAGAAGGAGATGTTAATATTATTCCTAAATCACTGCATTTGTTACAGTAGTTATTGCACATTGCATCCTGTTTATTAAAGACTTCTATATTCAGCATTGATGCCTCATACAGACACTAAAAGTTATGCAGGATGTGTATGTAAAATAAAGCTTTATTATAAAATTGTTACTAATTTTATAACAACACTTCTGAATATAAAAAGTAATCGCTATGTAGTTATAAAATGAGGAATTCCACCTGTAGCATAAACCATGTACCTTTATTTGTATTTTTTCATTTGTGCGTGTGTGTGTGCGTGTGTGTGTGCCTATGCCTGGAAGTCATGGTGACCTCTGGCGACTCCTACTGGAGCATGGAGGATGTTCAGTGAAGTGGCTTGATAGCCTGCCTCTGCCTTCTGGCCCTGGTATTCTCTGGAGGTCTCCCATCCAAATACTTGCCAGGTTCGGCCCTGCTTAGCTTCCAAGAACTGATGAGATTGGGCTTGCCTGGGCTATGCAGGTCAGGGAAACCATGTACTTCTTGTGGATAGTTTTCTTTTTTGTTTGTTTGTTTTGATTTGCTGAGTTTAAATAATGCTTATCTAAAAATAATCCTAATTTTATGCACTTCCCATACATAATAATTTTAAATGTTCTTTTAACAGCATCCCCTTCTATGCGTGGATCAACACCTTTAGATGTGGCAGCAGCATCTGTAATGGATAATAATGAACTTGCTCTAGCTTTAAGGGAGCCTGATCTTGAGAAGGTGATTATCTAAATAGTTATTTAGGGCTGAGTTCAGACTGGCAGTTTGAAGTGAAGAGCCCAAACAAACTGTTCCGGGTTTTCCCGTTCACACTGCAGTGACTGATGCAGGAGGATACCAGGAGGAGGCGCAAGGGAGCATTCACACTGTTGGCCTGGAGGCACGGCTGTAAGGCGTGGCTTTGTTTTCTTATAATGTGGAGATATGCGAATGCGCGCATAAGTGCACAAGAAAAATGCGGCTTTTGGCATTCACACTTTGTTGGTGTAGGATGGATGCGAGATAATCGCGCTTTCCAGGGTTTGCTACCACTTTCACCAGGTATCTTTTAAACTCAGGAGCAAAGCGTTACAAGACGAGTTGAGTACGGGTGGGGAATGCCTGACAGATGTGCCTGTGTGAACGGCCCATTTAATCCAGTTGTGGAACGTTTCTAAAACACACGTATATCGGGGCAAACTGCCAGTCTGAACTCGGCCTAGGTGTTTACACACAAGTATCGTGCATATGTTTGTGAATATATGCATTTAGAAACTCAAAGCTTGCATTGTTTTAGATGTGCCGTTACCACATGCATGTAATGTCACATGATTGTAGCCTGTGACAAGGAGTTACTTTGTAACTAACACGGCCACCCAGCAATTTAACAGCTGATTGGCATTTTCAGCACTTCACTCAGAAGCCTTTAACAGGAATTGTGTGGCTATGCCTGGTTTGGACTGGGGCTTGCAGGATGTGATCCCCTGCCACAGCTATCTTTTATGAGCCTGGTAAGCTTGGCCTTTATCTCAAAAATAATTTCCATCTGTAGAACGCTTTCTTGGATCAGGGCAACTGTTATGCATGACACTATTTGAAGTATACTTTTTAAAACTGAATTTTGATTGTCGCTCGGTTCCCACCAAGATTTGAAAAGCAGATCTGTGAACAATCTGCATGATTTATTTATTCAGCTTCTGGATTTCTCACTGAGAATCAAGGTGGATTACACAGTTAAACAACAATGCAATCAAAACAGTATAATACAGATAGGCAAAAGACAAAACTGAGTTACAGGGTCAGAGAATACAAAAAAATGGTGGTATAATATATACAACAAACAAAACAGTAAAAAAAGTTCACAGATTTGAAGAACAATACAGTACAGACAATATTGTACATAATTTAATAAAGGTGAATATTGGGCCAGTGAGGATCAAGTATTGCTCTAAGAAGGAAACATTTTGCTAAATCTGTAAAAATGAATTCTTGCTCAGTTTTTGTCCTTGTTCTCTTACCTGTTGTATTGAGTTTTTCTCTTACCATATCTGCATGTTTGTGAAATAAAGCTACATATCAGAAAACAATGCTATAAAACAGTGTAATACGTACACAAACATTAAAATTACTTTTCCCTATATAAAAATGCCCTCCTAAACATTACCATTTTATACATTCAACAAAATGATAGAAGTGTGAGAATTCTCCTGACCATATCAGGCAGGCTATTCCACCCCATGGGAGGCACAGAGAATGCTTAGATATGGGCAACTGTTGATCTTATCCATTTGCATCAAGGCACCTTCAGAAGATTTTACTTAGGTGAGTGAAACTGCCATAGTGGAATATACCGGGTATTACAGTCCTGCAGGTATGTAAGTCCCAGGCCATGAAGGGCTTTATAGGTACTAATCAGTACCTTAAACTGAACCCAAAAACTAATGAGACATGAGTGGATTGATTGGAGAATATGCATATTCCACCTAGCTCCTGATAGTAACTAACATCTAGATGATACGGCATTCTGTACCAGCTTAAGTGTCTGAGTTGTCTTCAAGGGAAGACCCATATGGATCGCATTATAATAGTGTAGCTTCAAAGTTACTCTGGCATGGATCTACATGGTCAGAAGATGTTTTAATCCAGAAAGACTGTAATCCCATGAAGCCATACTGAGAAGAGAAGCATTCTTCTGGTAAATTACTCTGAATCATTTAGTGAAGCCTGACTATCAAAACTACTCAAATTTTACAATAGGAAAGAGCTTAGAGAAAGTTAAAAATGAATAAGATAACAATCCCAAGTAGGTATACTCAGGAGTAAGTCCCATTTCATTCAGTGCGGTTAACTCCTAGGAAATTGTGTTTAGTATTGCACTGAAAGGCTGCTTGAATTGAATGGTACTTAAGCATATTTATATCCAGCATCCTTTATATCTGGGGTTGCTGTGTTCCCCTTGGGGCAGGAGATCTCCCACCCTTAGTGGGCCTTGCCTGCCGGTACTCCAGCAGCTGGGGGGAGGGGAGAAAACATTAAAAAACACTTGGCATCAATCACATCAGTCCTCTCTAGGAATCACTGGAAAATCTCTGCTTTTCCTGGAAGTGACGACACGCTGTCACTGACAGTCACCTC